CTCATGAACCTTTGTGGGAAAAGTACTGCGGTGTGACTGCGCCTAATGGTATACTAAAATCCATGTGAAAAAAATTGCTTCTCACTGTTCTCAGGTCAAATATTTATATGTGATTAAAAATGCGATTAATTTCGATTAATTAATTACAAAGCCTCTAATTAATTAGATTAATTTTTTTAATCGAGTCCCGGCCCTAATACAAATATATAAAAAACATGTCTATGAAGTGTTTTGCTCAAAATACCAAACAGATCACCCATTCTAGCCATACCTCATATCCCTCTATTTCACTTCCTGTGAAAAAAAAAAAGGAGGGGGCTGAGCTCATGCGGGACCCGGCAGCTACTGTCTAAACTAAATACTGCCGTGATGAAACCCCATATCATGGATTTTTTCTGAAACAGTATGGAGCTCAAAGGCTTTCTCTCTTGCCGGTTATACCACAAGGTGAGCCAATCATCAAAACTCATCTCAACATGAGAGTACACCTCTTTCTTCATGTCTACTCAGGAATATACTTTCATATTAATTAAAAACGATGCGACTAGTGTAAAACAACACCTTTGTGACACATAAATCACACCTAGACAAAGAAAGCCCAACACAACCTGCCTAAATCTGTAAACATGCTAAGATGATAGCCATCTTTCCTTCCACCTGAGCTGCCTAACTGAATTATTCACATAGCCCAGTGCTCCGTTTTCATTGTGGCAGCTGGTTGTACGTCACCGGCCCCCGCAGGAAGGGAACAGTCACCTCACCAGGCCCTGCTGTGTCATGCTGCCATGGTAACGACACGTTACAGCATGACAAGCACTCAACAGCTTCTGCCTGAGACAGAGTTGTGCTTATAAAATCAACAAAGTTCAAGTGTGTGTCAATTTACATACAACAAAGGTTTGCTATGATGGAATAAAGACACCCACTATAGCAGAGGACTATATTATATTTAGATTGCTGAAATTATATGGAATGCAACTTCATAGGAAACCACAAAATAATATAATTTAATATTAAACCCAACCGACTTCAATAATCATTTAATGGAGGACAATTCCAAATGCTTACACTACCATTACTGGACATACTATTGCTATTCTTTGCTACAATATATACTACTTCTGTTTTAAAATGTAGATCTTAAAAGAAGAATAAAACACTTTATTAACCCTAAGGGGAAAATCATTTTTTTTAATCTGTATAAACACAGAAAAAATACACACAAAGCACAGAACATATACACATTGTTAGGGGTTCTGTGCCTTGCTCAAGGACACCTCAGCAGTGACAAGGTTTTGAACTGGCCCCTCTCTATCCCTATTTGTGTTTCGATTGGGACTTGAACTAGTGACCCTTCGGTTTCCAAGCCAAGTCCCTCCAGACTATGCCTTTAGTGAGAGTGTTAAGACAACTTCAATTGTACAACTTATTTATATTTATGTCTTTAAAAACTGACTTTTGCACCACACTGCCGGCAATGCTAGCCCCTATGGTTCTGAAAAACCCAGGGAAAACCCCAGAGCTTAAAGGAAAAATAAAACCTCCTCCTACCCACTGTGGTGAGGCTAGCATTTTTTTAACAGCCTCGCTGTGATAACAATACAGTAGAGCCATTATGCAATGTGAGAACTGGAGACATGCTGTCCTGCAAACCACTCTCCTGATAACATGTTCGAACAAAATGACACGCACACTGCCTTCGGAATCAAATTACATAATCATATAGGTAGGAAAAACACAGTGGTGGCATCTCCGGATCAATGAGGACATTTGCCTCACCAGAGGCCTGTACTACGAAGCCGGATTTTATCATATATTTCCTTATCCGAGTCAGCTTCTGGCCGTGCAACACAGACAGTGTCACATACTGTATGCAGAAGTATTATTTTAAGCAACACATTAAGTTGACGAAACACTCGAGACAAATGTAATTAAAGTCAGATCGTGTTTTAGACGGGGCAGTGATATCAGAAACCTGTTAATGTACGCATTCAAACGCTTTTTCTTTTACCAGTGTTTAAGTCATGGATGTTTGAAGTTTAACTTCTTCATATGTCTAATATTAGTTTACTTTTCATTCAGGAAGTATGACGCTGCGCTGTCAGTACGCTTCTCCATGTTTGTGATTGGTCAAATGTTGCTGGACCCTTCCCTTTCATGCTCTCAGCCGGACGGAGAAACCCTGGCTTGAGTTACCGAGTTGATAACCAGCGTCGTAGGACAGTTTAGCGAGAGCGCGTTTGTTTTGGATTAGGTAAACCAGCTAACTCAAACCTATCCAGGTATGTTGAACTGGATTCGTAGTACAGGCCTCTGGCCTAACACCACAAGAGTATGTATACAACACAAGCTGTCGACATAGCTAAATCAACACCCCTACAAACAGAACAAGGGGGAAGGGAGGCAAATAAAGACAAAAAGGATAGACGAATGAAAGTGTTACCAATAATGAGCAGAGCCTGGTAAGAAGTAGAGATGTTATACTTAGGTAAAAGTACAAAAGTAATGGCAAAAACATAAACTTAAGTACCAAATATAAAATGTGTTGTTGTTATGCATAATGGCCGTTTTCATTATCATAACAGCTGGTACCTAAAACAATACAAACAAATGTATCAAAGAAAATACTTTAATATGCTATTTATGTCACTTAGTTTTTGTGTAATTGCTGCTACAATTCTTTTTTAGCCACAGTTGTGTACTTATTTGTCTTCATTTTGATTTTATTACTAATATTTACTTTTCTTTCTTTTTTATTATTGCATTCCATGTTTAACTACTATGCCACTTTTGCTGTAACCCTGTTCATTTCCCCACTGTGGGACTAATAAAGGAATTTGGATTCCAAATTGTAGTGGAGTAAGAGTATAAAGCATATCAAATGCATAACTACTTAGTCAAAGTGCAAGTACTTCAAAGTTGTAGTAATGTTCAGTACTTGAGTCACTTTACTTCGCTACATTTGCCCTCAGTGGCAAACGTACATACTGATACTCTCAAGTAGCCAGAATTAAAGAGCTAACCCGAGGCTATAAGCAAACTACCACAAACGTTTCAAAGAGAAACTCCCTCTGGAGGGAGCTTTGGGGTTGTATCCTTAGCTGACCATTTACATACAGACAAACCAATACACACACACTACAGGAAAGGGAAAACCCTAAAAAGCATAACAAGGCACCTTTTACTGAAGCCATCGCCCATAAGTTCAAAGTGAAATGTTGTTCTGCGTCATTGCATCTGCATCTCATTTAGCCACTTGTTGGCAACCACTTTTTTTCAAGACAACTAAAAAACAACATTCAAAAACAACATTACAGGAATAGAACATTCAAACCTCTTAGGCTTGTGTAAACCAGAGACCTTATTTCAGGCATCTTACCACGAACCCATTGACTTTGATATAAGGGAACCGGAAGTGCTAGAAAGCCAACTCATTTTCCTGGTTTCATTCCTGCAGCTCTCTACAGCGCAGCAGGTTAGAGTACGTTGTGTAACCTACATGAAGCATTGAGTCTTGGCAGCTGTAGTTTAGGCACAAGGACACATACGAGCACACCCAGACACACACAGGAATGTCTGATGTTTTTTCCTGGATCTAAATGTGGGTTTTCACATACCACATTCTCCCCCGGCCTTCTGTGTCCCGAGTGGCCTCTCTAAGAATCAGTGCCAGCCCCAATTGTAACTGCACTATGATCTCTGCGTTGCCCGTGCTGCCCACAGACAAAACACATGTGAGCACACCCCAATGTACACTTAACCGGGTCAACTGCGGAACCTTTATGTTATGTAACAAGTATAGCACCACTCTCCTCGGCTTGCAAAAAAATGGGGAAGTTGCACCATGGGTTGGTATTTTGGTTCTCTGTGGCTCTTTATTTCACATTTTGTTCAACAACGGTTGAAATACCTGCAAAGACCTTGTGCTCCTTACAGGGCAATACAATCATGACTGTACAGGGTGTAACGATGGGTGTGTGCAGTGGCTGCAGAAATATCCAATATGTCAATCATATTTGTCATAAATTGCACCATATTTAAGGAGCTTGCAATAGTTGATCAGACTGGAATGACCGACTTGCTGAAACGTGTTGCTTAGTGCATAGCTGAATGACACTACCAGCCTGTTGTTCATTGGTTCATAAAAAGGAATTACTTTGCCGTACACCTTAGTTACTAAATGTTCAAAGTTATTTGGCACAACATTATGTCTTGAAGTTCACAATCCTGTTCCATAGGCAGATTCCTACTCTCACCCTAGCCTGAGACGTGCCCAATATTTCATGACTACGTTCCTCGTGTAAACATTTCAGTTCCTGTGAATGTTATGCAAGAGCTGTAGAGTTCAGGGCGTGACGCGCTGAACTCGGTGCAAACATAGGTGCATGCAGGCAAAGGGCCATAAAGGAATACAGTGAGGGAAACAGGAAAACAAAGAGTACAAAAAGTCAAGGGGCTGTTCACATCTTGGAGCGCCCTGTGTGCAAGTTAATACAGACAACTTGGCATTACATAAGAGAGAAGGCCTGAACATATAAAGCTGCGGAGAGAGTTTACTAAGCCCTGTGGGAAACACATATGAGACACACATAAACAACCATTACCCTTGGGACTGAAGATAAGTGACATGCCATTTCACTGCAAAACACATCTGATCTTCCAAAAAAAAGATTCAGTGAATCTAACTTCTGAAAATGTTGTACAATCTGCAACTGGCCGAGTTCCTTCTAAGGTCGAGTGGATAGATAACTCAACTATGAAATGCCTCATTCAAAATGTGGCATGGCAATTTGTAGTACTTTTTTACACTGACAAAATCAAGTATATTTAATGAACCAGATCACAGCAACAAAAACAGCTTCAATAAGTAACAGAACCCTAACAAAACAAGGGGAGGAAAACTACAAACGGGCATGTTAGTAATCTCCAGCCTCACCCATTGCAGGGTGACTCCCCTTCAAGTGATTTCAAGGTGTATGAGAGGAGAAAAGAAGCATCACCTGTAGTATCTGGACTGCAGGTAAGTGGAGCACACAGCCTTGGAGACATGGCTGGCTGAGCCAAAGTCGATGACTTTGACTCTGTAGGGCTGCCTGGAGGGATCAACCAGCATGATGTTCTCTGGCTTCAGGTCAGCGTGGATCAAACCGAGACACTTGAGCTTCTTTAAGGCTGTTGCCACCTGCAAGATTTACAAGAATAACATAGATGTTAGAATGTTGGCACTGTGATTCGAATGCCAAAGCACAATGTCATTACCTTCTATGGTTACTTGTCTTTTTTTTACACTTTTAATTGATGTCTAACCTGTACTAAAACAGATATGGATACTGTATCTACGTGTATGGGTGTCTGCAGCACATGTCAATTTACCTGCTGCAGAATGGGCCGGATGATTTTGAGTGGCAGGGGGCTGAACTTGTTCTGCTTCAGGAAGTCATAGAGGTTTTGCTCCAGCATCTCAAAAACCAAGCAGGTGTGGCTTCGGTGCTGAAAGCACTCGAGAGCACGCACCACATTGTGGTCATCTGCGTTCTCGCTGCTCAACCGGGCCAGGATCTCCACCTGGAGGAATAGGAACAAGAGAGAACAGAAACACGGATTCAGTACGGAGGGTTCAGTACGCGCCGTCTTTGTTGTAATCAAAAAAAGGCAATATAACAAGTGTTCCTGTTGTTGTGTGCTGATGTGAACCCCCCAGCAGATACAAGCAACACCAAGCGATTCTTCAGTTGTTCACAATTTAAACTCAAACACAGAGACTGGTGCATTTTCTTTACAGATTCTCACCTCGATCTGTCCCTGGCGTGCATAGGACGGGTGGTTCTTCAGTATTTTGACCGCCACCACTTCATTTGTCCCCCGCTTCCAGCACTTCACTACCTGACCGAAGGTGCCCCGACCCAGAAACTCCAACACCTCGTAGCTGTTCTTCAAGGAGCACAGAACCTCGTGCTGAACCAACTGATAGTCACCATCTGCTGATCCGGTTCTGGTCACAGTGGCTCCTGCCGCCGCTTCGGTATTGCCATTAGGCTTGATGTCGCACCCCCCTCCCCTTATTCCCATGGCGGGTGGCGGCTGAGTGGGCAGTGTCCCTCCACCCCCTATTCTTACAGTGTCTGCATTGTTCCCGGTGCTGGTTTGCAACATGGCCACAGCGGCAGGAAGTGAAGGTAGAGCAGATACCTCCTCCACTATCTGCATGACGCAGTGGTTCTCCCGCGGATGTTCTCCACCTTCGCTTGCTTTCTGTTCACATCTCTGGTTGGCGCCTGTGTCTTGAATGTTGACGTATCCTCCTCTCGCTTCAACTCTTCTGCCCTCTTCCTCCTCTACTCTGATGCAGGCCCTGCTCAGTAGACCGCAGTCCAAGCCCCCTGCTGATGGAGTTCCACCGCTGTCTCTACGAAGCCTCACTTCCTGTGGGCCTCTGCTCTGGCAAAGGGACTCCTGGATCCCAGCTTCACCCTGTCTCTCTTCTCTCTGTAATCCTGCAGTCTGCAATTCACACTCCTCCCTGTCTCCAAGCTGCAGCCCCCTGTGCAGTCTTGCTGAATCTGCACCAGTGGGGGATGGGACAACGTTGTTGGGATAGGCAATACCGTAGTTGACTCCAATCACATAGGTCTTGGACACAAGTCGTTGCTGAAAGGTTCTGCTGGTGTTATTACTGTGGTGGGCTTCGTCTGATGGTCTGATGGTACTACTGCTGCTGGTTCCTAAGGCACTTGTTTGAGCTGAGTGCAGGTGTGATGGGTAGACCAAGACTTGTGAGGCCATACCTAAAGATTGGGGACAAAGAAAACATAGGCCATATGTAGAATTTAGTCAAGGGTAAAGCAAGTTGACACAATACCAAAGATATAATGTGGTGCATTGATGATTTTTCTAGGAATATCCGCAAGTTAGCATTGCAAGGGCTCACACGAAAATGATAAGTTGAAAGGATCTTGGTTTTTGTTAGGTACTTGATAGTTAATTTCATAAGAGAGCTGTTTTGTTTGTATGTGTTTTCTGTTTGTGCTTATAGTATGTAAATGTGTGTTGGCCCCAGGAACAATAGCCAATGCTTATGATGAGTCCGTTATGTCCGCAAATGGGGATCGTAATATTGACGAAGACAAAGGTTTATAGGCATTTTCTACATAATTACCTGTTGAACATGTTGACAACATTTTTAATACCAACTCTATTAACTAAACTTCTGTGTAAAGAAGAGAGAATTGGAAGAGCAAGGTAGCCCCCTTTCCTATCAACTGAGCAAGACTGTGGTCTAAAAAAAGCCAATACACATCTGAGCCATCATGTCACCCTCGCTGAAAAGGGAACTGGCCCACTGTAATGGGAGCTGGGGGAAGCCTGCTGCATCTCTGGCCTGCCCCTGCACGCTACACTGGAGGCTAGGTTTCATACAAAGTAGAAATGCCAAGCAAGCAGTACCTCAGGGGGAAATGATACATCAGGAAACATGAAGGGTGTTCTGTAACTCTGGGACATTATACCATCATTGAAATGACTGGAACTGATCCCTTTGATGGATAAACCTTCTTTCTGGGACCTGACTGGAATTTAGTTTTGTTAACCTTGCTATTTTAAAGTGTCCTAATGAGATGACAACCAAGCAACATTCTCATGCTTTGAAAGTCATTTCTGATGTCACAGATAGTGTCATCAATTACCAAACCATTTTGCAATTTCAAAGTGTCTTAAAGGAATGTTCCTCTCCTCCAGCAAGTCATAACACAATGATAATAGGCAGAGGCCAAGCCTGTCAGCCACACTTCCTGCATATTTCTCCTAACAGGGACATACGGTGTGTCTGTCTGGGCTTACGCTCAAACTCAGAGGTCATTTGGGTTTTAAGGCTACAACACGTGTTACCAAACACACACATTTGAGAAGCTAGCCGTCTTCAGCACAATGCTGAAAGGCTGTGGCCTTCCTAACTACTGAAGGCCTCGCACACACAAGCTCAGACAGGCCGAGAGGAGTGCCACAACGTCAACATGAGAATACAACACACTTATCAAGACTTGTAGGGCTGGCGAGTTTTAACCAACATACAAAAATTAACAAATGATGTTATGAACTTTTCTTTAAACTGAAGAAACAAACAGACAACAGAAAACAAATGGACCCTACTCTAGTTTGAACTATATCACCTGTTCTCAAAAACTGAGCTGCCTACTTATGTACTAGCTTCAGACAGAGGTCTCCTGTGACCTGGAGGTGGTTGTCATTAGAATTTCTGGATCAAGATCGTTTTCGAGAAAGATGGCATTTCCATTAAGTAGAGATCAATGTATGCATGGTATTCATAAACCGCCCACATTTGATAACCAGCTGAAGCAACTGACAGAAGTCCAAGGCAATAAAAGCAACAAAAAACCTACTGTGACTGGTGTGGTGCAAATATGTTTACCCAATACCCTGTGTATGCTTAACAAGGTGCTATAACCATCAGGCATTGAAGGACACTGGCACAGCTGTGATACCTCCTGCTCTATCCTCTAACTGCCAACATAGGTAGTCTGATATCCCACACAACCACGATCCAGGCCTGAAATGGAGAGCTATGACACAAGAGGTGTGTGTGTGTGTGTGTGTGTGTGTGTGTGTGTGTGTGTGTGTGTGTGTGTGTGTGTCACAGTTGTACAAGTATACCAGCTGTGTATGCAGTTTGTTACTGATCAATCTAGGAGACAGTTGACATATGGCAGGGGTAGTGTGTGTGTGTGTGTGTGTGTGTGTGTGTGTGTGTGTGTGTGTGTGTGTGTGTGTGTGTGTGTGTGTGTGTGTTTGGGGGAAGGGCAACACCAACCTAGACACCTGTTAAAACGTATGTAGTAAGTGACAAGCAGCTAAATACTGTGTGTGTTATACTATTTAGTGTATAGCTAACACAAATATAGCTTTATTTACCAACCTGGCTAATTTAAACCTACCGAAAGTTACATATTATTTTTGACGTAAACGTTAGAATTGGTCACTATCTTTTCAAGGTAACATCTTAAAAAACACTTTTTGCTACTTCTACATCACTACAATTCAAAAGGTAAATAGTGTACTTTTACGTGACTACATTAATGTAATACCTTTAGCTACTCTGAATATTTTGATTAATAATGTGAAATATAAACAATACATTAATAAGACTTGAGTTCCACCTGGAGTAAATTCACAAGCTACCCTGCAGTATACAAAGTCATTAAAAACAGCTGCATCTTTACCAGCTTTGATAACACTTTCATTTTCAATAATTATAATCAAAACATATCATATATTATTCTGCTAAATGGGTACTTTTATTTTTGGTACTTTAAGTATATTTTGATGCCAATTTAAGTAACATTTTGAATGCAGCACTTTTACTTGTAACAGAGTATTCCTACACTCTGGTACTGGAGTACAATAGTACTTCTCCCACCTGTGATTATGAATAACTAATAATCGTCGTTAGCCAAAAACTAGCCTTCACTGCTACAGTTGGCTGCCAAGGGGAACACACTGAAGTTGGCTAGCTAAACAGTTAGCAAACAAGCTAGCTGTAAGCAAAGTCTTTTCAACGGTAAAATAAAACCGAAAACATAACAAGTAATGCTGAATTTGACAACCACTTACGTTAATATATGTTGACATACCTTCAATAAGAGCTATAAATAATATCACACAGAGCGTCAAGGAACAGTCTAGCAACGTTGAACCGCACCACAGTGAAATCCTGCACCGACGCTGCTGCTGCTGCTGCCATCTTGTTCAACGACGAGGAGACACCGAGCGACTTTCCACACATTTGAAGCTCGAAATAACGCAAATAACTGGCTATTACGAAAGCCAGCTGGATTTGATGTTTTCGACAGCCGTGTCAGGTGTCGACCAGCGTTGTTCTTGTCTCTATTCAGGACAAGGAACCTGTATTTCTAAACTTTTGCATGCTAATACGACGCGTCCCCGACAGAGATAGCTGCTGGCTGTTAGCTGTTGCTGCTGGTTCGGTAGCTTGTTGCTTCTCCGCATGTGTGGAATGTAGGGGGGGGGGGGGGGGGGTGGTTGTGTGTACGTGTGTGTACGTGTGCATGCGTGTGTGTGTGTGCGTGTGTATCACATTGCACTGTGACAACTTTGTAAAAACAAGTAACTGTACAGTTCGGAATTGATATCTTTATTATTATTATATCACCATTGAAAACGTATTGTTGTTATATATTGTTCAATGTGCACAGTTTGACTTTTTGTGTAAATATTGTTATTATATTGCACATTTTAACTTTTTCCATACATCTTTTTATTCTATTTTATTTCAACTTTTATTGCAACATTTTTACTTTAACTCTGTAAGGTTACATCAATCTTTTTTGTCTTTTTATTTTATTTTGTATTTTTTTTCTTACTTCCTATGTTAATGTACATCTTTTAGTTGTATTTTATTATATCTTGTATTGCACTCTTTTACTTTAACTTCGTATTTCAACATAACTATTGTTATTTAAAATCGTATTGAACATTTCTACTTTCATTTCTTGTTTGTTTTATATGTTTATATAAATATGGTTATTTTATTTTGCATTGCCAATTTTGTATTTAACTTCCTATGGTTACATTACATACATTTTTATTATATTTTTTTATCTTGAACTTCACACTTTTACTTTAACTTCTTGTGTATACATTTTGCTATTTCTTTTATTTAACCATTTTATTGGATTGCATTTCTACCTTAGCTTCTCATGTTGACATTATGTCTTAATTAGATTTTGTTTTATTTTGTATTGCACATTTTTACTTTAACTTCTTGTGTTTTTATAAGTATGTTATTCTAAAATGGAGCAACTGTCACAAAACATTTTTTCCTCCACAGGATAATGAAATTATTCTGATTCTGATTTAACTTCTATGATGCTTTAATCCACTAAATACATTAAGATATGTTTTCAAACATATTCTTAAGATGTGTGTATTTAACCATTAATTAAACTTTATTTAATGATTCATAATAGTTTAATAAGTCAAAATCTGTCTACATTTATCCAATGCTTTTCAATGCCAACAATACGCTGTAGCTTTTGTGCGACAAATAAGTCCTTTGAGTTTTCTATCAAATAAAGAGTCTTGCACACAGTAAAAGCTGGTGTGGGGGTTAGAAAAGCACAGGGAAACTGGTTGTTTATGGGTCTCTGGTCATGTATTAAAGGGGAAGCGTATGTTGTGTTGACAGTACTTAGAACCTATCTTTAGATCTGCAGTTGGTATCTAGGTCTCGCATGTAACTGCTCTCTGTCTGGGTCTAATGCAGGGAAGGCCTTTCACTGCACCATCAGTGAAGAACAAATTCCTTATCTCATCTGTTTCACTACACTGTGGTCCAGAATCAAATCATATCATGACATGTATCAAAAGCACAAGCAATGTTACCAAATTTGGACAAACATGCAATTTATTGAATAAATGTGCAGGAGAATTGTTTAAAGTGACATACACACATTTTGTTTTTTCACATAATTTATTTGAGTATTACTATTTTATGATACTGTATACTTGCACTCAGTACACATCAGAGGCACATATTGATTGTACTTTTTACTGCACTACAATAACAAAATCTATAAAATATATGGTTATATGATATAACGCAATACTGAACTACCAATCTACCCAGTATTTTATAAAGTATCTAAAAATGGCTTCATGTTTACAAACTACTACATATTTGTTAGAACATAACAACAGGATAATTTATGATTCTATAATAATACAATACTGTGAAAAGAGAAATTCTACTAGTGAATACATGTACTTTTGGTACTTAAAGGCTGGGTATGTAATTTATTTAACAAACACTTTTTGTTATATTCTATGGAATGCTCTTAAAGGTGGGGTAGGTAAGTTTGAGAAACCGGCTCGTGTACTTGTACTTATAATTGAATCCATTACTATGTGATGGAGTATGTTAGGACTGTAGTATTTCTACTATAGGCTACTTCTACATTAGTAAAGAGTTTGACCGTCCACCTCTGCCGAGAGTTGCCATAGTCTTTAAAGTGACAGATATTCTGCCCCAAACAAATACAAAACATAGATAAAATGCATTATTTTTTAATCTTGTTATTTGGGATTATATTCAAATGTAATATCCTTTTAAAATAAACACCTATCATCCAGGAGACAGTAACCCCTTTAGCTATTATTTAAAAGTGCATTTGGTACTGATTGCTATACTCCTTAATCATCCCGTCTCGTCATGTTGTTGCAATTGTTTCTTTAACATGGTTCTTGTTGAACACATACACATTAATACACATTTTATAATCCTTTTCAATATAGTTGTATAATAGTTCCATATTTCCTCCTTTTTCACCATCAAATTCCTCTTACTGCTTATGTATGCACCATTATACACCAAAGAAATTCCTTTTGTATGTAAAGGCAATCAACCTAATTCTGATAAGATATCGAACACTTTAAGTAATTCATAAATGTGAAGTTGTAAAGTAAAATGAATAATTCAGCTTTTTCTGGTTAAGGTCTGCTATTCAAGTATTGTTTACTCTGCTTCTAGTTATTAGAAAACACTAGAATCTAAAATAATAACAAAACATGTCATATTAGCTTAAATTCGAGTTCTGGCTCCACCTAGTGTCTTATATGTAAACTACATAAAAACAGGTTAAACAGGACAAATAATGATTGTTTTTTTTGTTATTACCACATTATATTCAAATGGTTTTTAGTCAAAAAGCTGTATAACAATGTGAAGTGGCTTCATCATACAAACTTAAAAAGTAATTACTGTTATATTATCTGTTCACTTATTTTCAAAAAAGGAGTGTTTCATGGTGCCATTCAGTCCATAGGGTAGTTCGATTCTGCTCTAATACAAGCCAGGAACACATATACACCAAAGACAAGCAGAAGGAGAAAAGCAATGAGTCATCTGTGTGGGATAAACAATGCTTTATTTGCATGTTGGATGAATATTGAGAGACAAGTATCAGTGTAATTGCAGTGAGCTGTACATGTTGTAATTATTTGGGGAATAGGCAACGTCATTCTGCCTGGAGGAGGGAAGATAACACTGTCAGTATTCTGTAAGAAGGTTGAGTGAGTAAACATTATGGAAAGCTAAGTGTTTGTCAAAAGTAAAAACATCTCATAAATAGTATAAATTAGTGAAAATAATTCAAAACAATAAAGACAGTTTAAGAGTCTGGTTTCCCTTGAGTCCTTATCAATTTATCATAGTCACTATACTTTTAATTAATATTTGTAGGACAGACATTGTGCACATACAGTAGTTAGAAGTCTTTAAAGTCTTTTTGATAAAAAAAATTTAAAAAACACTGTAGGACGTTTTTTACAGATTCTTACTCCAAGAGGAGCCCTTTTGTTGCCTTTTCATTTTAAGAGTGGATCGTGTTATTTTGGTCACATTTTGATACTTCATGCTCCAGTCCTGTGAGGCATTTTAGATGTGATTCCTGATGAGCCAGTAGCCTTCAGATCTGCAAGCAGACTGCATTTTCGAACCATTTGATATACATAAACTTTGTACCGGAGACCATAAACGGTTTTGAAAACTTCTGTCACGTAGTGATCATCTTCTCAATAAAACATCTTTGCTGATGTTTTTTTGAGTCTTCTGGCCAATCAGAATCAAGATTGTTTCCGGAAGTCCCCACGGAGAATAACTTTGCGGTAGAACTATTCTTTATACATCCATGGGTACAACTTCAGATAAAAATGAACACATAATGAAATATGACCCCCGGGTTGATGATTGACAGGTCACAGAACAATGGGAGCTATCTACCCTAACCCACAATCTCCTCTTTACTCTTCTCTCTGTGAGGAGCAGCAAGTTCAGCTGTCGGAACAAAGTGAAAAACAAACAATGGCATACAATATTATAAATATTTCGGGTAGTAATAGATTTATTTATTTTGTTCTCAGAGTGTACCAGAATGCGTAGTTTATATGTTAGTATTTCAAAAAATCTCCTGCGGTTGGGTTTTCAGCATGTGTGCCTTTTTATGTTATACAGTTCAGCTTTGATTCCATCATCTCATTAAACCTTTTTTAAAAGCATACTTTAGTTATGTGAAGGGATATATGCACTGTACTTCATTTTAATTAATAATGTATTATATATGCTGAAAAGCGTATATATTAGGCCTACAGCACGAGTTTTTGTTGAATAGATTTGAGTGGTTCACATTTCGGGTCGCGATTTATTGACAAAGGAAAAAGTGGGTCCCGAGGCCTGACCAGTTGAGAACCACTGGTGTAGTGTATGTATCCTCTCTATTTCCCTTCAATTGCAGTGTGAAAGACAGCATGCAGTCGCCTGTGTGTGTGTGTGTTTCATCAGTTCAACTGTGTCAGAAGTTTGAAAACTGACTGAATACTTGGCTATGGTTTGTACAGTATTTATGAATGTCTGAGTGTACCAGTCCCAGACAAACATGTATAAATGATGCATATTTGCCACTACTGTCTTCAGAGTAAGAACACTTTATGAACATTCTTAAAGCAGGAAATGACTCCTATCCCTGCCAGTATTTACTGTAGGAGAGCTCCACAATAGTTATGAGTTTTCAGGAGATACGCACAATAGTTCTGTTTTAGGTTCAATGCTATTCCCCTTACAAATGCATCCTTTTAAAACGTGTGTACCCTAACCTAAATGTGAACATTCTTTTGGAGATGTACAAAAATACAGTCAAATAAAAATGTTGCTCTCAAATCTTAATAAATCAAAAAAACAAAATTCAGTTCAGTCAAAATGGTATCTTATAAGGAACAGTTCAATATTGTTGGGATATATAATGATTCCCTTACTTGCTACGTGGATGATGACTCACACAGTGAGTTTTCTAGCAACCAGAAGAGACACCAAAAAGTCAATGCTCCCACGTTTAGAAATACTCCCTCAAGTTAAACAACAACTTGTTATTTAGATTCAGGCAGGGGGGGGGAGTGTGTGGGAGAGACTCCTCTTAGCAAACCATTTACATCCACACAAAAACCTATACAACACAATAAAGGTACAGGGAAACTCCAAAAAGCATAATAGGACCCCTTTAAAATCGTATAATTTTCATCAAGGCTTCTCTCCTTTCATGGAATGTGCCTGCCCGCCTCTGCCTGAACCGCATTTCCTTTAAACTCCTGACAGGTTGAGACATCTCTAGAGCTCCAATAAAGAAATAAAGACATTGGTATATGCCAAGAACATTAATAGAATATTTCTAGGCCTTAACGCAGAACTATAGTGTGTTTCACTCCGAGAACTGTTGGCCAATAAGGATCCTGCTCTGGGACGGCTCAGAATTTAAACTGGATTTTTGTTCTACTACTTTAACACTAAGTATTGTTTTAGTATTAATTCTAAAACACAGGTTTTGTATTAGCTTGGATAACACATTTTGATAATACTGAACTTAATGCAAGATTGTTACAAGGCCTGATATTTGTTATTTGATAGTTAATGCAACAGAGATGGTAGTCAGCATTTTATATGTTGTCTTAAGGTGTGGGGGAGCTGGCTTTACCGGCTGAACGCAGATTAGCCTCCTCAGCTTGTTACTCTAAATCTTTAACTAGGGAGGGGAAAGTGAAAAACTATGCGATGCTTTCCACTTCCACCCTACGTCTCTGCGCCGGGACTCTCCTCTGACGTGAGGACTTTACTGAAAATCTTTTGGTAGAATGGGGAGAAGACCAGCTTGTTGAAGTTGACGAGGCGACTAAAGCGCACACCGAGCTCCTTCACCTCCTTGCTGACCGGAGCAAGGCCTCCTGGGAGAGGAGGGGGGGCGTTATGTTGATTGGAGTCCAGGGAAGCCAGGAGATAGTTCTGAACACGAGACTCTGAGGGGAACAGAGAGGAGAGGGGATCTGTCACCAACATGTACATTGTAACCCCCGCACATGCACCATGTATTTTCTTTTGTAACTGTTAGTGTTCAAATGAAAAAAAAAACCTGCATTCTTTGTCTATGGCGGTCTTGGCAAAAGGAGCCCTTGAAACAGAGCCCCTTTTTTCATGTTCAAATAAGTATAGAAACCAAGTCGAATTTGTCAAATGTATTGAACTGGTGATCACAGTTTGACAGCTATAGGCCTACAGCTTTCATGTGCGGAGGCGATTCACAATCAGGCCAGCTGTAGAGAAGACCCTCTCAGCTGGAACGGAGGTTGCGGGTATAGCAAGGTATAGCATGTATAAGTTTAATTTGGCATAGTTTGACCTCTACACCGCACTCACTAACCTGGTCGAAATATTTCCACACATTACTCCTTTTTGACGCCATGTCTGTTGTGTAGGACTCTTCTTAGAGTGTAAATAATTACCGGACTATGACTGGTAAAATATGTTGAATACCGGCAAAACTAAATCTCTCCTGTCAAAATGTCTATGTACTTTGCCGCCACACACGGTTGCCAAGCAGCGCTTATTGTTGTTTAGGCTGGCCATGTGTCGCGAGTGTTGACAGGGGGCGGGGGAGCACGCTCATGAACTGTTAGCGCCGGAACCTCGCAACGGCTGCGGAGCGCATTTTGGCCTAAGATGAGGTTTGAGTCTGAGTGATCTGCGTGTAGGGAGGGGCAGCAGCCATATCATTAGCTAGAACTAGCTAGATCTGATGGATTTGGACATAAACGCGAGTGAAGTATAACCGGACGCGAGAGAGAGAGATCAGCACCTGCAGCTCTGCCCGCTGTGAGGGAGCAAAACACACCTTTAGACGTCACCTAACACATTTAGCTATGGCACTGTCGTATACATTGAATTATTCAATTTGATTATATGTAATCAACTTAGGCATCCCTCCCAAAAAAATAAAATAATAATAATTTATAAAAATATGAATAACTCACATACGAATACCTGAATAATTTCGAATATTCGATTAATCGTTCCCATCCCTAATTCAGTGTATAAACATTTACTGTAGATGCTTTTTACTAAGATTGCGAGGAAATTATCATTTAAACTGGCGAGTGAGGATAATATTTTAAGATGTACATTTATTCCACTTGAAGGCAACTATTTCATATTACTTAGTGTTATTGTCTACTTTTTGATGTTAATTATTATATTTGATACAGATAAACATAACAAATCCCAATTGAACCCGTGAGTCCCTGCTCTTACCCATGAGCTTGCGGATGGTGTTGCCGGGCAGGATGGTGGCAGAGATCTGTCCCTTCAGAATGCTCCTCCGGTCAGGAGCATATGGAGAGTAGCCATGCTGACTCAGACACTTACTCAGCTCCACGCACATTCTCTCCCCGATGGTCGCCAACGCCTCCTCTGCATCGAAAGACCTTAGGGGGGGGGAAATAAATAGGATGTCATTTAACACTAGAACCGCCAACGGGTCAATTTTACCCGCAGCTGGTTTTTGATTGTATGTAACTTTTTTTCTCCCTTCAGTCTCCCAGTCCGTGACTTTTCCTGAAAGTGTGTTATGTAGCACCCTCTGTTGTTAAAAATTGTCAATATGAAGTCAGATTGAAAAAATTGCCCAAAAAATTGCCATTTAAACCCATATCCGCCAGCGGGTAATATTTACCTTATAGAAAATGCAGCGTAAACATGATGTGTTTCTATAGCAACGCCTTTTGTCTACTGCGGTTCCTTATAGATAGAGAGATAGATAGAGAGAGGGATAGATAGATAGATAGTTATAGATAGAGAGAGAGAGATGGAGAGATAGAGAGATAGATAGTTATAGAGAAAGATAGAGAGAGATGGAGAGATAGTTATAGATAGATAGAGAGATAGATAGATCGAGAGTTATAGATAGATAGAGAGATAGATAGATCGAGAGTTATAGATAGATAGAGAGAGAGATAGAGAGATTTGTACCAAAACAAAACACAAGTCTAACACCAAGCGTTTAAATCAGCACAGGTAGTGATATTTTATACTTCATGCTATCTGCACAAACTATATCATATGAAAAGCTAAGAGTCCACAGATTCTATTGGTATAAGTTTCATCCCTGAGCGATCAAAACTCATTGTTCTACATGATAAATAATATAACATTGTACCTTGAAAATCAATAGCGGGTAAATTTGACCCGTTGGCGGTTTTAGGTATACAGCGACCTCTGGCGGTTCTAGTGTTAAGTACCGAAACACAACCTGTTAAACTGGTGTTAGCATTGTCTCCTCCTTGTGGCAGTGAGAGGAATTACATCAACAATGTCCATGTTGAGCATGATGCATTTAATGTTCATATTTACCTGTCCAAATGTCCCTTTTTTTCCAGTGGCCATAATATAAAAGGTAGGTTTTTAGTTTTGAAACATAATATTATTTTATTTAGCTATATCATGCAATATTATTTTGTATACTTGGTGGAGGTCATTATAGGTGAAAGGAAATGGAGCTCAGGGAGAGAACACAGTTGTGTTTTGGTTTTTATGCATCCCAAAATCTTCTTTTCTTGTTGCCATAAATAGATATATGGAAATAGGTAGATGGTTGTAGTTATCAACGCATGTGCAATACAAGAGATTTCGGTTGTAAAATGTAGTTTAGTTTGCAGTTTATTTTTTATATATTGGGCATCAACTCTAGAAACTACAAAATGGGCGATTTTTTTGAATTGTACGTCAAAGCTTCAGCCATGTCCCTAGCTGCTGCTACTCCACTAATGTCTCTCCCCCCCATCCTGCCTCCTTTTAGCTTGGGCTAGTTGAAGTTGAATGCATCACTGTAAGCTAGCGCAGGGAAGTCACCACAGACCCCGGCACTCGAGTACACTGCGAAATACAGTTTGCCCTGCTGGAGATGGGATTGATTAGCATTGTGTGGAAATGTTGGGCTTGATTATCACAGATATTTATTTAGAGCTGTATTTATTGTGCAACAGGTGAGAACAACAACTTGGTTGCTGTAACTTCATCCGTTTGGTTTTACTTGCTGGGACGGCACATTTTAGTCAGACATCAGTTAAAAACATTAGCAGTTTTAGCAGTATGTGATATTTAAGCAGTTTACTAACTGCTTTTGGTTAGCTATCTGACTATTTAGCTTTAGCTCAATTCTTATCAAAGTATGTTCATGTTGAACATACTTTGTTTATCGTTGACTAGTAGCAAGTTCGATAAAAGCCGATTCTATAGGCGAAAAACATTGGTAGGATAGAGGGAAACTGTTTGGTGAATATTAATATGTTATTTCATGCAATCCAATTTGTAAATAATCTAACTATTGTCTTAACTTATCATAAGATCATTTTGCCTGATACTCACCAACAAAGTTGTCCAACTTAGTTTTATTGCATTTATGCGTGACATTTAAAGCGCTGGTACTCACGGTGTGTTCATGTCGGCCAGCAGGGCACTGACAGTGTTTTTGAGAGTGTCCATCAGCCCTGGCAGGCCTGAGATAGCCTCCCCGGTGGTGGTGTAGATGATGAGGAGCACAGAGGAGAGCAGAACTAGCCGCTCTGCCTCCAGATACATCTCCTGGAACCGGACCTGATCCATCAAAATTGTCTGTAAGGCAAGGCAAGGCAAGGCAAGGCAAGTTTATTTATATAGCACTTTTCAACACAAGGCAATTCAAAGTACTTTACAAAAAATGAAAGAGATTAAGAAAATGGCATTTAAAATCAGTCATTAAAAAGAAAAGCTAATAAAATAAACATTAAAAGAAAAAATACATGGATAAAAGTTACAGTGCAGTCAATTAAACATTAAAAGAAAAAAGTACATGGATAAAAGTTACAGTGCAGTCTAAGATATGAATAGTTCAATTAAAAGCAGCGACAAAAAGAAAAGTCTTCAGCCTGGATTTAAAAGTAGTCAGAGTTGCAGCGGACCTGCAGGTTTCTGGGAGTTTGTTCCAGATATTTGGAGCATAATAACTGAACGTTGCTTTACCATGTTTAGTTCTGACTCTGGGGACAGAAAGCTGACCAGTCCCTGAAGACCTGAGAGATCTGGATGGTTCATAATTTAGCAGGAGGTCAGAAATGTATTTTGGGCCTAAACCATTCAGTGCTTTATAAACCAGCAGCAGTATTTTTGAAATCTATTCTTTGACACACAGGAAGCCAGTGTAAAGACTTCAGAACTGGAGTGATGTGATCCACTTTCTTAGTGTTAGTGAGGACTCGAGCAGCAGCGTTCTGAATTAGCTGCAGCTTCCTAATAGATTTTTTAGTGAGACCTGTGAAGACACCATCGCAGTAGTCGAGTCTACTGAAGATAAAAGCATGGACAAGTTTTTCCAAATCCTGCTGTGACATTAGTCTTTTAATCCTAGATATGTTCTTTAGGTGATAGTAGGCTGATTTAGTAATTGTTTTAATGTGACTGTTGAAACTCAGGTCAGAGTCCATGACTACACCTAGATTTCTGGCTTTATCTGTTGTTTTGAACATTGCACACTGAAGCTCAGCGCTAACTTTTATACGTTCTGCCTTGGCTCCAAAAACCATTACCTCAGTTTTATCTTTATTTAATTGGAGAAAGTTCTGACACATCCAGTCATTGATTTGTTCAATGCACTTACTCAGTGTTTGAATTGGAGCATAGTCTCCTGGTGAAATTGTTACGTACATTTGTGTGTCATCTGCATAGCTATGGTAACTTATTTTGTTGTTCTTCATTATCTGAGCCAGTGGTAGCATGTAGATGTTAAAGAGAAGAGGCCCCAAGATGGAGCCTTGAGGAACCCCACATGTCATATTTGTCAACTCAGATGTGTATTTACCTATAGAAACAAAGTTGTTTCTGTCCTTTAAGTAGGATTCAAACCAATTCAGAACTGTTTCCGAAAGTCCCACCCAGTTTTCCAGTCGGTCTAGTAATATGCTGTGGTCAACAGTGTCAAACGCAGCACTGAGATCTAATAATACTAACACTGAAGTTCTGCCACTGTCTGTGTTTAAGTGGATGTCATTAAAGACCTTTACAAGAGCAGTCTCAGTGCTGTGGTTTGGACGAAAGCCTGACTGGAACACATCGAAACAGTTATTTAAATGCAAGAAATTACTCAACTGTTGAAAAACAACTTTTTCAATGATTTTACCTAGAAATGGCAGGTTTGATATGGGCCTGTAATTGTTCATTACTGAAGCATCTAGATTATTCTTTTTTAAGAGCGGTTTAATGACTGCAGTTTTCAGGGCCTGTGGAAAAATACCTGAGTGAAGAGATTTGTTTACTATATGAAGTAGATCTGAGGCCATGCAAGGAAAAACATCTTTAAAAAATCCTGTTGGAATAATATCAAGGCAGCAAGAGGAGGATTTCAGAAGTTGAATAATGTCCTCTAGGTTTTTATCATTAATCTGATGGAATTGTGTCATGATGTCTGAATTGATGTTAAGTGGAGATAGGGACAACACATTTGCTGTTCCTGATGCAGAGGCACTGACTGCTTGTCTGATTTTCTGAATTTTGTCAGTGAAGAAGGAGGCAAATTCATTGCACGCCCTGGTGGATAGAAATTCAGAGGCTACTGACACTGTAGAGGAGAACAACAGGAACACGGGTTCATGTATCACACATCTATACAACCAGGAGGGAGACATGACAGACTTCATGCTCACCTCTGGGAAGGGGTCTGATGCATGGTCCCACTTCAGCAGGCGTATATAGGCTTTATTATGAACATTAACAGCAGAGAGGGGGGCGGGGGGGTCAGAGGAGGCAGCAGTAGAACCGTCCGTCTCTCTCAGGCTTCTCACTGTGTCCTCAAGCCACTTCTCAGTGAAGTCTAAGGCATCTAAAGAACAGAGCATTTCATTTTTAGCTTTACTAGATACAGCTGATCCGTTTTCCCACACAAATATATGCAATATCCATCCAAGAAGAAGAAGAAGATTCTGTTTCCATTCTGTCATACACGCACATGTGTTTTTTTAATACAGGTACATACAGTACACACTTTTTACAACATGCACATAGATATAAAAATAAACACAGTTATATGCACACATGCACATGCAGTTGAGAGGTCAGAGCGGAGGCAGTTGGGGGTTAGGTGCCTTGCTCAAGGGCACTTCGGCAGTGGCCCAGGAGGTGAAATGGGTTGGACCCTTCGGACCAAAGTCCAATCCCATACAGACTGAACCACTGCCGCCCTTACAATCGAGATCACACATTTCTCAGCCCGCATGCTATGTACTAATATTTGGAAGAATAAGCATCATGCAAATATTGCATGACCTATGTCAAAGCAGACGAGCTGTAGCACATGTCAACAAGACAAACATAGCATCAAATGAGATATGATTTATTATCTTGGAATGCTCTTTGAGTATAAAAGATGTTGTGATTTTTTTTTGGGCATTTTAAGCATTAAACTTAAAGGTGGGGTATGTAATTTATTTCTGAAACACTTTTTGTTATATTCCATAGAATGCGCTTAACATCCCGATAGTTATGAATATCTTAAGTGCTTTGACAATAAATCCATAAAAAGATGTCATCAGTGGAAGCCATAGCGCTGTAAAAAGCACGACTAATCATTTTAGCCGGCCCGGCTAAAGTAACTGGATGGCCTACCTACCTGTCAGCCTTCCATCTGTGCACAAACTTATCTCGTGCCCTCATTGGTCATGTGTGCGTTCGTGTGTGTTGGAGGAGGGGCTCTGTAAGGAAGTCTGAAGGAAGAGGCAGATTTTTTCCAGTTGTGTATTTTCAGATTCTAGCGCACTCGAGCTGGTTTCTCCAAAATGACATACCCCACCTTTAACTGAATCTACTTGTTTCCAGATTCCTTTATAAGACTTCCAGTCATTAAGCTTTAGGGGACACCACATGAACTAAAGATATTTCACTTGCTGTGTGTCTTTCCTTAGGTTCAAATATAAATAAATACTTTAATTCTGTACTTTTTTACGCTAAACAAGCATCGCAACACAAAAATGTGTAGTTCTGTTCCAAACATCTATATATATTTTTTCAAGTTTTTAATTGAGATTGGATGTCTTATGTCATATTTTATAACTCCATCACTATAGAAGCAAAATCGATTTTTTGTTATTGTGGTTGTATAAATGTAAGTTATGGAGCTGCAGGGCGGTTGCTACCTCTCTTTGAGAGCAGAACAAAATGAATGACTGATTGCAGACGAAATGTGTTTGTTTTTTTTAAATGGTAAAACACATCCTTTAGCTAAACATTTGGAATAAAATGACTAATCTAATGAAAGAGAGATTCCTTACTGGGCTGTTTCTCCACAAACTCCTGGAACTTGCTCCTCTCGTACTCAACAGATTGCTGCATCAGATGAGGCCGGAGGCTGGTCAGGGCAAAGTTGGCCATGTCCACCTTCATCAGGTCCATCACAGAGAATATTGCCCTAGGAGGGGAGAGGACAGAGGAAGACAGAGACAGAAAACAGATCACTGTATGTTATGAAATTAAAAAAATACCAAAGAGGTTTGAAATTCCATGTCCAACTTGGCTGGGGTTCATATTGTTATTCTTATTCATTAAAGTGTGCATAGATTGGTTAAGGAATGAGTCCTAAATCTGGAAATGAGTTAGCATTCTAGCACATCCAGTTCCCTTGTCTCCAAGTCAATGTTTTATATATAATGGCATATATTATGGGTCTCAGGAATATAACACTATATCAAAAACATATCTATGATGTGAAAAAAAGAGGAGGGGGAGCTTGTGCCTGCTCAGAATTCTACGAGATTCTCAGTTAAATGCTGCCGTGATTAAACACCATGTTCCAAACCACATCAAGGATTATTTCTGAAACAGTATGGAGCTCAAATGCTTTTTCTCTTGCGGGTTTATCACAAGGTGAGTTCTTTTTTTTATTTCCTGCTTTTTTACACATACTCTCTCCAGTACAGGTTAGCTCTGAGTGTTAGCGATGCTTGCTAATGTAAACACAGACCATATTATGTCCAAAACACGCTGCGCATTCTTTCTGATAGCGACGTTTCTGATAGTGCCGTGGTCGTAAAGCCAGCCCACGTTTCCGATATTACGTCATATCGGATGCAAATCTCGATCAGCTCCGTTGTAGCCCCGTTTTTAGAGATGTGGGTACGGAGGAAAATAAAGGATGTTTTGTTTTCTGACACTTTGTGAGTTCCCTGACACACCGGGGACACATATGTAAGTGTAAAAGACATACAAAAGTGCATTTTGCATGATAGGAGACCTTTAAGACAAAATATACGTTAGAAAATACTTTAAGAGTGCGCTTAAGACCTTCCTTTCTGATAAAGCTTATAGTTAGGGCTGATTAGATTCAGCCCCTAGTTTTGCTGATATAGGCTTAGTTTGTCGGGGGACATCTTACTTCTTCCTTCTCTCTGTCTATACCTGTGTACTCTCATGTTCCGATTAACCCAGCTTCCCCAAATGTCTTTCTTTTTGGTGTCTGTATACGCCGGGATCCGGAGTCATGGATGATCCTGCGCTCCTCTGTCCTGGATCGCGAGCCCTGGATCTTGAGTCGTGGCTGTGGTCCTGGATCATAAGTCCTGGATGGATATCCTCGTGGATTCATCTTCCTATTATACACACATGCATTTCCAAACATTTGGACTACCTATGTTGCAAATGTATTATCTTTTCAATTTACACACGGCATCTATTGCACGTCTGTCCGTCCTGGGAGAGGGATCCCTCCTCTGTTGCTCTCCCTGAGGTTTCTCCCATTTTTCCCTTTAAACTGTGGGTTTTCTCCGGAAGTTTTTCCTTGTACGATGTGAGGGTCTAAGGACAGAGGGTGTCGTATTGTCATACTGATATTTTGTACAAACTGTAAAGTCCACTGAGACAAATGTAACATTTGTGATATTGGGCTATATAAATAAACATTGATTGATTGATTGAATAAAAATCTTTTTCCGTGTCAAAAAAGGCGATTGCTAACAAGTGACTAAATGGGACTATTAAACATCATAACAGCAAACATTAGCCGCTATTATGGTGTTGTCGTGAAGTCAGGCAACCGCGATGTAGTTAGTTTATTGCCTAACGTTAGCTTTTTCATTCTGGCAATTGCATTTACTCTTCAACTACTATTAAAAGTGGTTGAAAATATGTTGAGATCATTTTCTGAAATAATCCAATGGAAAAATTCCATTGCTTTTTGTCGTAGGAGCCCTTGCAATGCTAACCTCCCTGTCGACCCTCAAAAAGACGTCATCCCTGAACCACTCTATTGGGTTTGTGAGCCTGCTAGCTCATCTCTTATATATATCCTCTATGATAACGTTGGCCCAGCACAAGCTGACTTCTGCACTGTAATGGACTGGAATTAAATGTCACCTAATCTTAAAATAAACTGTTCCCTGGAGCATGCAGGACTAATAATACTTGGCTTACTTGAGAAGAGGCACAATTTCTGTGATCTCCTTTAGCTTTCTGATGTCCTCATCTCTGCAGGGGGCACACTGCGAGCCCATCGTCATGACAATGAACTGGGACAGCTGACCAATGTCCACCGCTCCTTTCTCAGCCTGCTGCTGGATTAGAGGCAGATCCAAAACCTCCTCGATCTGGGTGCGCAGACGGACGTTCAACGGCATCACGAATGAGAGTAAAGTCTATATGAGGAGGGAAATAGATGATGATTGTGGTCAGTGGAAAGGAAAGAGAGTAATCGGTATTAGGGACAGATATTCTACATTGGTATGGCATGTAGTGCTGCACAATCATTGGAAATTGTATTGAATCAAAATATATTCACTCACTCGCCACTTGCAGTGTCTTATATAGGTTTTAGTGCATGTAGATGTTCTACATAGGCCACAATCCCAAAGTTCTCTCCAGAGGGAGTTTCTCTACCACCAACACCCCTTCTATTGGCCAGCGCTCAAACACATTGTACGTGACAGGCTAAGGGGTGGAATATCTCTAGACAGAGCAGGCCAGCTAACCAATCAGAGCAGACTGGGCTCTGGTTTCAGACAGAGGGTGAAAAGAGGTGCTGCAGCACAGGCAGTATCAGAAACATAAAGAGCTTTTGAACATTAAAATATGGAAACATATCACAGGAGAGGCACTTTATTGATTCATTCTATATTGGAACAACTTTCACGAAAACCAATTTCCCCCTGGGATTATTGAAATGTTTCTGATTCTGATAAACTATATTATTCAGATTTAACAAAACATAATTGTTTGGTACAGATCCTCTTAAAAAAAAAAGAAGTATCACACCGTAATAATTTATAAATAATAATGACCAATGACCAATCCCTCCAATATCATTAACAGTTAATTAATCACAATTAGTTATTTTTATAAACCATGGCCTTCTCAATAAACATCTGCGGGATCATATCTGAAGAGTTCAAATAGGAACACATATTTTCAGAGCTTTGGAGTCATCAGGGACGTTTTTATTTCCAGGAATAAAACAAACAACATCTGCCTCACCTCTTTGATCTCCGCCAGCAGTTTGATTAAATGTCCGTACGTCTGTGGCTCGTCCGTCAACTGAGCTTCCAAACACTCCCAGAATGCTTTGTGCATTATCTCTTTCACTTTGTGCTCCAAACTGTACAGGGGCACAGCAGAGGTTGTTACTACAAAACAGTGGTGGAAGACGTACTCAGATTTTCTACTTAAAGGTCACGTATTATACTCCTTTTCAATAATATATGATCGGTCTCAGATATATACAAAACATGTCTCTGAAGTGTTTGGCTGAAATCCCAAACAGGTCATGCATTGTAGCATGCCATATACCCCTAAAAAAAGGTTGCATTTTTTCTCTCAGAATAGTATATATAATTTTACTGGAATATAGTTACTGGTCCAATAATGTGAATATCATTTAAATGTGATGCTCATAAGGGGTGGAGCCCACTTTAATTACTTTTTTTATTATTATTAAAAAATATATATAATTCATTTTTTTAAAGTTATCTAAATTAATAATAGTCCAATGTCCATCTTCAGAATCAGGATCAGAATACCTTTATTAGTCCGACAGAGGGGACATTTGCAGCTGCAGTAACAGGCTTACGTCATTAGTTGTTTTATTTATTTTTAATAATATGAACCTGCATATAACTTAAAAGAAGTGGAGTATATAGTTAAACGTTTGCCTCCAAAATGTACTAGTAGTATTTTGTACCATAAAATGAACATACTGAAGTCCCTTAACATTTGACTGAGGTATAGTACTTGAGTAAATATACTTTCCCTGCTTATGAAGCAAGAGAGGAGTAACTCAATAACAGGGCCTTTCAAATCAGTGACTCTACTTGACTCAACTCTCACCTCCCCTCAGGAGGTGCTGCAGGTTTGACTTGGAAATCACTGTTGACAATTATTTCATGGGCCAGAACCATGTTGGAGACTCCTTTGGCCGTCTCCATCAGCTCCTCCACAGACACAAACTTGGGGGGGCTGGCTGTGAGGGAAATCCATCTTTTAATGATTTAACAACATAACACATCAGAGGGTAATTTCCCAAAACAATAATACCGTCATACCGCCAACAAACTGCAGTTGAACTAATAAGAAAACATGGTGCATTTACTCTTATTTTGAAGCGGATAGTGTAAAAACAGACATACATCAAACACGTTACCTCACAGGATATATATTACTCCTAATTGCAAGCTACTGTACAAATGTTTTATGTATTTCATGTGTTTAATGTATTGTACACTATGTTTATATGTTAAGTAGATTGGTATATTAGAGAGGATTCTTACTCATTCTGGATATTTCATAGTGTTTAGATACTCTGAATACATTTATTTCTTACTGAGAATATGTTGATAATGTTTTGAAATGTACATTTGTTTATGTTTATCTGTATTTTATTTATATTCTATTCGATTTTTAAGTAACTGTGTAATTCTTGTAGATTGACTGTCAAAATGCTGCTGCTAAAGTATCCATCCATAAGATGGTGAATGTTTTATCTCTGGGTGTCAACGATAATCCAATTTATAACCGAGATAATTAAACAGTCCCAAATGCAAAGTTCTGAATATACTTGTGGGAAAACCTTTATATTGATCGCTCTTATTAGGGCTATAAAGTTGATGTCTGAATGAGTCCTAGTAGTTAGGGATTGACTTGTTAGAGGATGTGCTATGTACTAGGGATGGGAACGATTCATCTAATATTAAAAATGATTCAGGTATTCGAATATGAGTTATGAATATATATTTTTTTTTTTTGGGAGGTTGATTACATATGATCAAATGGAATAATGCAATGTATACGACAGTGCCATAGCTAAGTGTGTTAGGTCTAAAGGTGTGTTTTGCTCCGCTCACCGGTCCCTCACAGCGGGCAGAGCTGCAGGTGCTGATCCCTCTCTCTCGTCCGGTTATACTTCACTCGCGTTTATGTCCAAATCCATCAGAAAACCAAGTTATGTTTTAAGCATGAAAGCTGTAGGCCTATAGCTGTCATCTGTTCAAACCGTGATCACCAGTTCAATACATTTGACAAATTCGACTTGGTTTCTATACTTATTTGAACATGTATTTATTTATTTTTCAAAATTAAAATATATATATATTTTTATAGGATATGTACATTTCGGTTAACCGTTTTTTTGGGGGTCAAATATTCGAATATACATTTGCTTTCAAATTCCCATCCCTACTATGTACTGTGTAATTTATCTGCTGGACATGATACAGATGTGATTGTATTGGTATACATGGTCATAGTTTTGCTAACCCGGTAATATAGTATGCTTAAGATATATAACACATTATAAGTATAAGCACTTTTTATCAGGTTACAAATTATAAGTATGTTCTTATTTCTTTAAGGATCATTGCAACCTATATAAATAAATAAAATAAAATGTCATTTTATCTGAGACGGTGAAAATACTGTGAAAATATCATACTGAGGTATAAACTACATGAGCCATTTAGTGTCCGTGAATATGTCAGATAAACCTCAAAATGAAAAAGGCCTTGTTGGTACATATTGCCAAAGCACACTTGTCCTTATTTTAAGTCGGGTTAGAGTGGGTCAAGCTGAGGGGATGATATTGCTGGAGCTGGGTTAACAGCTAAGAAAGGCAATCAGCCTAGTGATGAGGGTAGTATTTTTTTACGAGAACATTAATGTTTGTTGTTGTTTAATTTCCCGTTGAGTGCCAGATGTTTGTCAATAACTGCGGAAAAATTTGGTAGGTAGCAGATTGAAGTCAACAGAGGTCAAGAACTGGAAAGCTTTATCCTGAACATCCAGGTCAAAAGAACTGAGACCACCTGCAAAAGTAGCTTCCTGGGCCACAGCTGTCCAACATCAATTATTTATCCAGGATGCTAGTCGCCCTGATAATATATGAATGAGCAAATATTCTCACATATGTACATCCTTATTATTTTTAATCCGAGTTCACTTTCTCTTGGAATGTTTGTACTCCAATAAAACTGATGTTGGATTAGAAATACATGATCCATTTTGACTCATGGCTGTTTCTCTGTGTAGCTGCAGTAAATCATCCTGTTTCTCACCTTGGGGAGTGTTCCCTCTTTGTGGGCTCGGAGTATTTTCCCGGATCCTCTTGCTCACTGTCCCCTCAGTAGCATGCTGCGTCCTCTCCTCCTTCGACTCCTCGTCTCCTCCAACTTGGTCATTCTCCTTTTGCATGCTCTGCAAGAAATGCAGTTCAAGTATCCAATCAGCAGTTATTTAAGGAGATTGCAGCACACACACAGTAACTGTGATTTTTCTAGAGATGCAGCCTTGCTACATCAGTGAACGGCATTTGTAACATGCTGGGATTTCATATTACAGTCCAAATAGGAGCTGGAGATGCAGGTTTGTTTTTATTGTCATCCATGCATGATGACATCAGCTTTAAGTCAGTGTGCCAGTGCGACGCTCAGGTGGTGAATACGGCAGAGGTAAACAGAATAAGAGCTAACAGCGCTGTGGCTTTCTGCAGAAACGTTACTAACCTTGTAGTGTGTAGCGGGAAAAATGAAAGAGCAAAGAGATGTGTTAGCTCAACTTCTGTACCGCTAGCTTTAGTCAACAACAACAAAGCCTCCTTATGACACAGCTAATCCTTCATAACCCGGCCGACAATAGGGAAATTATCACTGACCAATGGTTTCACAACTTCAGCACTGCCAGCCACCGTCTTCAACAGAAGGAACGTTTTGTTTAAAACAAATAAACTCAAGCTTACAGAAGTCGCACCCTGTTCTCTTTTTACATGCGTAGGGTCGCCGCTAAGCTAACCGAGCAACACTTCCTGTTTTGGGCGGGGCTAATTTGACGTAACAGCCCAGCCCACTAGCGCACCCAAATAAACACACCCTGAGTTAGGATTTTATTATTCAATAATACAATTTATGTATGTGTTATATGTTTTATTCATAAAGTATTGACCTAGAAGACATTTGAAATGTTTGACAACATTTCTTTCAAATACAACATATTCATTCTTTATTATAATCCCCCTATTAAACACCTATTTTTACGATATTGCACTATAGAAGTTGTAAGAAAATAGAAAAACATCTATCTTTGACTATAAAACGTGTATGTCATGTATTTGCCAGCTAAAAACACAAACAAAAAAGTTGAAAAAACATTACTCTCAACACTATGTGTCCACAGTAATACACTGACAACTGTTACTGTATGAAGAAGATGAAGAACATCACAGAAAAGGCCCATACAGTAAGTATTATACTTGTGAAAATGCAATACAGACAGTGGTGGTGGTCCTTAAAATCCACTAAAATAGAGTTATTTCTGTGTAGACTTAAATGGTTGAAGCGCATGTATGGCATATAAACCACAAGTTCCGAATGGTAATTACTACAAGAATCAATTTGATATTAAAGGATATGTGCAATACACAAAGTTAAATCTGGTTGTTACCGATGTGAGCTACTTTAACCAAATGACATACACCCACTGTCAAGTTCTTCAGGGTTTTGGCATGTATATAGTGATTTAGCCCGAACTTGAGAGGCTGGAGGGCAATAGAGGACGCTTGGACAACTCAGATTCTTTCTTTTTGTCTTTATTTTCTGCTCAGCAGTTATTTATAAAGACACTTTTCATCAGATTATCATCAGGTTGAAAACCTTCAAACACAGAGGACAAACAAAAGTTAGCACACACGCAAACAAAATCACAAACATTTTGTATGCCTCATTGCATTATTTATAATAATAATAATTCAGTCTATATTCTACAAAACATCATTAATGAATGAATAAGAAAGTCTCTTTCTCTACTTGAAACCAAGCAACCCAGAAAACCTCACTGAACACCATTTGCGCTGTCTAAAAATATACCCTAACAAAACGGAGCGCACACAAACCACGCTGCGTAAAAGCCGTCGATTGCGCAACAGCACTCTCACACAATAAGGCATACACATAATTATTTATCTGTCCGTTTTTCACAGATATTATTATTTTTCTTTCAATATTGACTTTCGTCTCGACACCCACCAGACAAAACTGAATACTTAACATAAGACTTTTTTTTTCTGATGGACTATCTCTCATTGATTCTATTCTATTTGTTTTGTATTACCCTTACACACCCAATGAAACAAATAAGCTTAATCACAGAAACATTTGTTATATGCAAGACAAACACTTATCAACACTTTATTTATTTTGTCAATAACAAAGCAAATACACACATATACAAGCAATTGTATGCTGGAAGAATCTTTGCCCTCTCCCATAAGACTTTTTGTAAGTCTCACATAGTTAAATCAGTTAGCTTGGGACGAAAGAAAATGACCAAAGATGGTAATAACAGGCTCCTGGTGAAACTGACTGTAGAAGACTGAGAGATAAAGACTATGTGCCCGTGTAATTGTCTTCACAAAACTAAAGCACATTAACAGCAGATTCACCAAAGTACTTGTTAAATATATCAGGGTGCGCTTGATAAAACTGTCCGAGTAGGCGCTTTTTCTCCTTGGCAGAGATCTTGGGGTCCTGGTGGATGCTGTTCAGCAGAGTCCACAGGGCCTGGTTGGTGATCTCCTTTGAGTCAGTGGAGACCTGCTGACAGAACGTAAAACCTGAAGGATGGAGACGGAGAAGTGTTAAGAAGGAAGGAGCTTTGATTAAAAGTGCCACATTGCACTCAATTAGTAGTTTTGGCAACTTAGAGGCAATACAACATTGCTTTTAAGGGAAATGTGTTAGCAGGCAAATGCCGACCTGCAACTCCAGCAGGTATCATCAATTGTATTTTCTGGCCAACTGTCAAATGCATGTCTATATTCAGTTTTCTTTAAACTCTCTTTTGGTCTCCTCCATCTCTGTACTTTGTAAAGCATTATACCTTATTTGAGATTGATAAGAGCAGAAAGAGTGAACCAAAACAAATAAAGGTTATGGAATGTAAAACCCCAAAAATGAGCTGTATAACACTTAGATACTCTGCAGGTCTGCAGGGAAACTCACATTTATGAGAAAGTTGTCTAAATCTATGACTCTTTAATAAGTATGAGTTAGTGTTACACTACATTTCACCATTTACTGTCAACAATCCCCACTTCTGTTCAGTGAGTCCCTATAAGAATGTTGAACATTTCTTTAGTTTTTACTAAAATAGTAACAGTGCATTTTGGAAGTGGACACTTTACCTTACAGTTAACTGCTGCAGGGAATATTTCCATCAAGGTTTAATGGTTGTAAAATAGAAATACGCCAAAGTGTAATATGCATAAGTCTGTGAGTTCTTAAATTATGTTTAATGAACAATTTAAAGGAGACCTATCATGCTATATTTGAATAATATATTGTAGGGCCATACCTATATAAAAAAGGTATATTTATACGTTTTTGTTTTCAAAATACCAAACAGATCATGCATTTTAGCCATGCCTCATTTCGCTCTATTTTCCTCTCCTCCACCCTGTCTTTGCATGCGCTGCAGCTGACCACGCCCCCCTGCAAAGGAGGGGGCCGAGTTACGAGCGTCATGTTACCATGCTGTTACCATGCTGTTACCATGCTGTTACCATGCTGTTACCATGCTGTTACCATGCTGTTACCATGCTGTTACCATGCTGTTACCATGCTGTTACCATGCCACGCAACCTCTCATTCCCCTGATAGGTGGAGAGTTGCCCATATAGGCGGAGCTCCTCGTCACTGACGTCAGACTATTTTCAAATCTGTATCAGTCTGTATCAGATCCGTTAAAGCCCCGTTTTTAGAGATTTGGGTAAGGAGGAAAAGAGAGAGGGTTGTGTTTTCTGACACTTGGTGAGTTCCCTGACACACCGGGGACACATATTCATGTATAAAAGACGTACAAAAGTGCATTTTGCATGATAGGTCCCCTTTAACCTAATAATAATAATACATATTATTTATCAAGCGCTGTATCAAATGCTCAAAGACGCTTTACAGCGGTAAGAACAAATAAGATAAGATAAGAAGTCTTATTAAAATCGAGCAATAAAACCACATTTGTGACAAGGACATGTCATCAATCACACGTTAAAAGCCAGTCTAAAAAGGTGAGTTTTGGTCAGTGTTTTGAAGGTGGGGACGTCAGTACAATCAAATTTGTTGTGGGAGTGAGTTCCAGAGGGTGGGGGCAGCGGTGGAGAGTACTCTGTCACCCCAGGTCCGGTGCTTGAGGAAACAGAACCGGACCTGGGGTGACAGGTGCTTGAGGAAACAGTGACGGACTGTATATTTTTGTGTTAGATTGCCGTTGGATTGACCCTCATGAACAGCCTTACCGTTCACATCAGGCTGCTCCCCCTGTATGAGGCCGGCCAGCTTCTCACTCACTACTTTGTGCAGAGCCCCTGGTATCTGGAGAGCGGAGAGGAAAGTCTTAACATCAACTTATATAATGGCAGAGATTGGTTTGTCGATTAAATAACACTTAAAAAAGTATTTTCTTGAACTTGAGTTGTAGAAGTCTTTTCAATTCCCACTTATCCTATTCAGTGAATGTCTGAGACGGTAATTTCTTGCAACACAATATATATGAGGTCAAGCTATCACAACATATGCTATTTAATCGACTTTTTTTAGGAATGCTTGTTATATAGCTTTAACTGAAATCTCATAACTGAATTATATTATGATGACTTTCAGTTTTGAGAATGCTATCTCAAATGGTTAACATGGTCAAAAGTATACCTGCTTTATTAGCATGATAGAATAGTCATTGTGAGCATGTTAGCATTTAGCTTTTAAGTGCATAGCATCACAGATCTTCTTAGCAACTAGCAGCTGTGTACACTCTTAAGTAGGGTTGCCAACCGTCCCGTATTAGCCGGGCGGGACGCCCCGTATTTGAGCCAAAAGGGGCGTGTCCCATACGGGACTTTGTTTGTCCCGGACTCCCGTGTAAAGGGAAAAATAAAAAATATTTTTATATTTGCGCCATGCGTCTATGGTTTGCGCGCAATGCAGTGTGTCTGGCTCATGGATGTATAATAAGAACTGGATACAGCGTGGGAGGCGGAGCCTCATTCATTCCTATGAGAGTTGCTCAATGGCGCATGATGACAAAATGGCCCAACTTTTGAGAGAGCGAAACATCACAGATTACCCGGCATGCCTGAGAAGTGCAACCCGTATGTGCACTCAGAGCATGCGCAACTTTAACCACGCCGCCCAAAAGGCTCGTTCACATTAAGCACGTGCATTTGCGTACACGTAACAGCACCGCGCGTTCATGACAGCATGGTACTGGATTTATATTAACGAGGCGGCAGTTAGCAGCTGGCGGCTAGCTAGTAAATTATGCTAAGTTACATATCAATCGTTATGTACTTTTATATTACGCTGACATCAGGATCTAGTGATATCCAAGCAACAGAGCTTCATTTAGCATGATACTTGTGTGGGTTGTACATGAAACCACTTGGTAATATATACAAATGTATATGTTGAAGCCTGTTATGATCAATTGTGAGTTAAAACTTTATCTAAAAAGTAAAGCTGATGATGGATTACCGTGGTGGAGTTAAAATAACAATAGCCTATTTCTTTTTGAAATGTGATGGAATAAAAGGATAGTAACTGTGATTATTCATGTTAAGTAGCCCACAAGTAACTAAAACAATTGCAAGTGCAATAAGAAGCTACAGGAACGTTAATCTACGTCGGTAATATTAACTTTATTTAATACAACATTTACGGTACAACATTTACATCATACAGCCCATGTAGTATAATATTTTACAAATGATGAATTACAGCAAACATGTGCAATATATCCATTATTACAGCTCCGTGGGCTGGCA